GGCGGTGGGCTGGTCCGACGGACAGCCTGTGGGAACACGGAGGCTCATGGTTGTGCGGGGCAGAGGGTCCAAAGCTGGTCCGGGCTGGAGACTGAAGGAGGCCATCTTCCGAGGGACAGCGCGGGCAGGGTGTGGGCCGAGCTGGTGTGCGGCCGGCTCATGTGCGGGACCAGTCGACAGGATCTGGTGCTGCCAGGCACGGATGCCATTATGCACAGGCCCACTGGGCATCAGGCAGGGCAGGCCCAGCCGCTGGACAGTGCTGCGTGCACGCCCACTCGAGGTTGTTCCGGGGGGAAGGGGTCATGGAGGGTGGGGAGTGGAAAAGAGGGGGAGACGGCATGGCAGGCACCATGGGAGGTCACAGGGGACTCAAGCTGGTGTGACTGAAACTCCTGTGCATCTCCCAGCTGGGCCCTTAGGAGAGGGACAGGCAGAGGCTGTTGGCAGGACGGCAGGGGCAGGCGATGACGGCACCCTGCGTGTCTGTCTGTCCTGTGTGGTGTGTCCTGCTGACTTGCCCTCATCTCCTTTCAGATGGTGTTCAGCACAGACCCTGCCGAGGGCAGCTCCCCAGTGGGGCCCGAAGCCTCTCTGTCCTACAAGGTGGGGGCTGCCTCCGTGAGGGGCGATGGGCAGGGGTCTCTGTTCTATGGGATGGGGGCCGCCTCCAGAAGGGGGGCTACAGGTGGGGGGCTCAGGACACCTGTCCATTCTTCCCTCCAGGTACACATCCACCCTGACACCAGCCACAGGGGGACAGCTCATCGGTCAGATGCTTGGAGCTCCACAGCGTCCAGAAGGCAAGGTATGCATCTGGGGGACCGGACATGCTCCCCTGCCCGACCCCAGGGAGGGGCCACCCCAGCTGTCGGAGCTGGAGAGGCCTGCGAGGCGGCTGGGCAGCGGCACCTGAGCTGCCAGGCCTCCCACACCAGCCGGGATGTTTTCTTTCTTTTTTTAAAACATTTTTGTTGATTTCAGAGAGGAAGGAAGAGGGAGAGAGATAGAAACATCAATGATGAGAGAGAATCATGGATCGGCTGCCTCCTGCACGCCCCCTACTGAGGATTGAGCCCACAACCTGAGCATGTGCCCTTGACCCGAATCAGACCCAGACCCTTCAGTCCCCAGGCTGACGCTCTATCCCCTGAGCCAAACGGGCCAGGGCCACCCAGGACGTCCTGAGAAGCGTTGTCACCGGCCCCTGACGGTGTGCTGTGCTTTCACTGTCCAGCCGGGCGGACAGATGGGCAGGTTCAGGCTGAGGCCACTCCACGGGCCTCGGCTGCATCGGAGGGGTCTGCTGGCTGCTATCACTCAGGTCCCCGGGGGCGGGCCCCGTTTCCCTGACACCCTCTGTGAGCTCAGGCCTGTCGTGAGTCCTGCCCTCTTCCTGTCAGCTTCCCCTGCTGCCCTGGGTCCTAGGTCTGTGCAGGCACACGTGGCTCCTGGTGTGGGTGGCCTGTGTCGGCTCAGGCACAGACGCCTGAGGTGCCCAGTCCTGGCCACTGCCCCTGGGCACTTAGACTTAGGGTGGGGTTCGTAGCCCAACAGCTCCGGGGTAATGTGATGGTGCTGTGGTCAAGGCCACCCCCATCCTGGGCAGTCCCCAATGCTGCTGGCAGCCCACCACTGCCACCTGCTCCAGGTCAGCCCTCAGCACCCCTCTCCTCTCCACCGCTCTCCTCGGCTGTGCCTGCTGTCTCGTGGAGCCGAGCAGGGACAGAGGGTTAGGCGTGTGGGGCGGTCGTGCCGGGATCAGTTCGCCCCTCACACAGCACCACGATCTTGGGAGGCCAGCTGGGCCTTAGCCCTGGCAGGTGTAGGTGTGGAGGCTGAGTGGGTGCAGTGACCCGTGTTCCTGTACCTCTGAGAGCGAGAGGATTCTCAGAAGCAGCCACTCCTGGGTGGGTGTTTATAGGAAGTTGGATCATCTCCAGCCTCCCTGAAAGCTGGGAGTGGAAGGGAGGCCCGGGCCCAGAGGCGTGCAGGCCGAGGCCCGGCTCCAGGGCCCACACGTGCTCCTAGGGCACCTGTCTCTGCTGTGGCAGATGGCGATGTAGGAACCATCCAAACCTGTAGAGAATTTTTATAAGTTTGTTTGAGCCAAACTGACAATTGTCGGGAAGCAAAATCTGAAGGGATTGAGAAAATGCTCCGGAGAATGGTGGTTCTGCAGCTTATTTCATACATGAGAGCCATCGGTGGTGGGGTAGGGAGGTGGGAGAAGCAAAGTGGGGATGCCTCTGGGAGGGGATAAAAAAATAAGACACATAGTTTTACATTGGTGGGTACAGGATTGTTAAAATTTACTGCACATGGAGATGGTATGAGGGGGACAAGGTGACAAGGAGGGGTTCTGTGGACTCTGCTCTGAGGGGTCTGCCAGGGAGATCACGCTGCTGTTCATTCCCAAGGTCGGTTGTAGATGCGAACAGACCACACCAGGCTTAGTCAAGGGGAACACTGGCCTTTGTCAAAGAAGCTGCAGGCCTGGGGGGACCCGCTGTTAGTCTGGGATCTGTATGTTCAGACCGTCCTGGTGGTTACTTCCGGTTCTGAGTTTGTGGGGCTGCCCTGCAGCCTCCCTGAGCTTGTCGGGGTTTAGTGCATGGCCCCTTGATGTCCACGCAGGGCTGGCCCAGGCCGCCTCGTCCTCCGTCCACGTTGCAGGGAAGATCCCATCCTGAAAGTGGAAAAGGGTCTCTGGCCCCAGAAAGCGGCTCATTCTTTTCTGGAAGTGTCCCTGCTGACCTGTGACCTAGTCTTGGCGTTAGAGCCCTGTTTGAAGTCATTTCCTGAGCGTGGGGAGCAGCGAGTGGGAGGCAGGCGTGTCTGCCTGGGGGAAGCGGGTGGGGCCTGGTCTCCTTCCCAGCGGGCCAGGACGAGGGCCTGCCACTCCCTGTGAGCGGAAGGCACCCCTGCTGCTCCTGCCTCCCAGGCCTGAGCTGCCTCCTCTCTGCAGCTCCGGCATCTGTGTCTCCGGAGGCCCGGGTGTCGGGGGTGGGGCTCCTCTTCCTTCCTGGGGTGCCTGTGGCCTGGGTCTCCATGTCTGGGGTTGGGGTTGGCCGGCCTCTCTGGAGGTGACCCACTGCCTGTCCCAGCTTCTCTGGCTCAACTTCCTGTTCCCCAGGCCCCAGGCAGGTCCCGCGGTCACAGTCGGATGCGCCCAGCGGCTGCCTATGGAAGACTTGTAGGTGGCGGTCATGGGCCTCCCTGTGGGTGACTGAGTCCCAGCCTCATGTTCGTCCTGCAGGGAAGGTGCTCAGTTACTGGTGCTTCAGCCCTGGCTGCTGCATGCGCGAGCTGGTCCGCCAGGGCGTGCGCACGCTCCTCCTCACCAGCGGCACGCTGGCCCCAGTGTCCTCCTTCGCCCTGGAGATGCAGATGTAAGGCTGCCCCTGCCCGGGCTGCGGGCGATAGCCTGGGTGTCGGGGGTTCAGAACTTCACGGGGGACATCCCTGCCTTCCACCGCTGCCTCCAGCCCCTTCCCAGTCTGCTTGGAGAACCCGCACGTCATTGACAAGCACCAGATCTGGGTGGGGATTGTCCCCAGAGGCCCTGATGGAGCCCAGCTGAGCTCCGCCTTTGACAAACGGTAGGGGGACCTGACCTAGGGAGACGAGTGGGTGGGCCCAGTGCTGGGACCCACGTGGCAGTAGCCTCCTGGCTTCATGCAGGTTCTCTGACGAGTGCTTGTCCTCTCTGGGGAAGGCGCTAGGTGAGTTCCCGGGAAGCCCTGGCCTGGCTGTCCCATCCTGGACCCCACCCATCCATGGTGTCTGGGGAGCTCGCCTCGCCCCTGCCCAGCCCTGCACCCTTCCCTGCTTTCTCTTCCTGGGGCAGCCGGCGGGGCCTCTGGACGCCCTTCCCACTGACCATGGCCGCTCATTTCCAGTCAACATCACGCGCGTGGTCCCCCATGGGCTCCTGGTCTTCTTCCCCTCCTACCCCGTCCTGGAGAAAAGCCTGGAGTTCTGGCGGGTGCGTTCCCTTCGTGTGTCCTAGGGTGGGAGGGGAGCCCCAATGGCCAGTGTGGCTGTGGTGTGGCCCGTGGCTGCCAGGTCTCACGAGCCTGCTGTCCCCTTCTCCACCTCCTGCCGCAGGCCCGGGACTGTGCCAGGAAGCTCGAGGCCCTGAAACCTTTGTTTGTGGAGCCGAGGAGCAAGGGCAGCTTCTCAGAGGTCCGAGTTCGCTGGGGCTCCACTGCCCCATGGGTGCCCCGGGCTGGCCAGGGCCGTGGTGCGGTCCTGCTGGCCTGGGCCTGCTGCCTCCTGGAAAGCTAGGGCACAGCGATGGTGGCAGCAGGTGCCTGGGAGGAAAGGCTCTCAGCCCGGCTCTGTGTTTTCTGGGAAACTGAGCAGCCCTGGGTGCTGGGTGCGGGTCAGCCTGGGAAGCCAGCCATGAAGCGGCTGCCAGAGGAGGGTGCATGGGCCTCACTCGTGGAGGTGCGGGGCCGGGGCCCTGTTCCGGGTGACCCGTCTCTCCTTCAGGTGATGGGCGCGTACTACGCAGCTGTCGCCTCCCCGGGATCCCGAGGGGCCGCCTTCCTGGCCGTGTGCCGGGGGAAGGTGAGTCTGGTCCCACAGGCACGGCCCGTCTTCCTCACCCACAGGAGCTCGTGACAGGCCTGGGGACTGTGCTGTGGGTGGAACAGGCCGGCCCCTTCGCTTGGGCCCCACTTCCAGCAAATACGAGTTTGGAGGGCAGCCCCTGACCCTGGCTGGGGCCGGCCGGGGTGGGCACGGGTGGGAAGGAGGAGGAGGTTCCAAGAACAGACAAGTGGTCGTGGGGTTCGGGGAGTGTGGCCCCCAGCCAGGGCCTGGCCCAGGGTTGGAGGTCTGTCCCTAACTGTCCACACCTGGGAGCTTGTGGTCGTGAGGGTCCGGGCCAACCCTGAGGAAGGTCCGCAGGCTCCTGTGGGGCTTGTGGGTAAAGACTGTGCTCTCCCCAGGCCAGTGAGGGGCTGGACTTCGCAGATGTGAATGGCCGAGGGGTGGTTGTCACGGGTCTCCCGTACCCCCCACGCAAGGACCCCCGGGTCATCCTCAAGATGCAGTTCCTAGATGAGATGAAGGGCCGGAGTGGGGCCTCGGGCCAGGTGAGGTGCCACGTGGTGGGTGGGGACCTGGTGGCCTGGAGACCTTGTGACCAGCTCCTCCCCTTCCCCCAGTTCCTTTCTGGGCAAGACTGGTACCGGCAGCAGGCGTCCAGGGCTATGAACCAGGCCATCGGGAGGGTCATCCGGCATCGCCACGACTATGGGGCCATCTTCCTCTGTGACCACAGGTGTGGCCCTTTCACCGCATGGGGCCCCGGCTGGAGTGGGTGGGACTCGGGCTGATGGCCCCTCCCTCCCAGGTTCACCAGTGCGGACACCAGAGCCCAGTTGCCATCCTGGGTGCGCCCCCACGTCCAAGTATACAATCACTTCGGCCACGTCATCCGAGATGTGGCCCAGTTCTTCCGGGTGGCTCAGAAAACAGTGAGTCCCGAATGCCCAGCTGGCTGTGCCCCCTTGCTCTCCCCAGGGGAGGAGTTGGGTGGGACCCCCAACCCCAACCACCTGTGACTGTCCAGATGCCGGCGCCCCTAGCTGCCACCCCAAGCCTGGGCCCGGGAGAAGGCACTGTCCCAGTGGCTGTGTCGCTCGGGGCCCTCTCCACCAAGAAAGCCAAGAGTCTGGACCTGCACATCGCCAGCCTGAGGCGGAGGCCTCCAGGTGCGTGTGGCCAGGTGACGTGGCTGGGGGCTGCTCCCACAAGGCTGGCGGCAGGCAAGGCCTGAAGACCAGAGCACGTGGGTCTGACTGTTGCGGGGACCTGATCACCCCTGCCCTCCCCCAGGCATGCCAGCCTCCGGGGACGGCGGGGACACCGAAGGCAGCCTGTGTGTGGAGTATGAGCAGGAGTCGGTTCACACCCAGCGAAGGCCTGTGGGGCTGCTGGCCGCCCTGGAGCACAGCGAGCAGCTGGCCCGAAGGCCCGGGGAGCAGGCCGGGCCTGGGGAGGAGGAGGTATGGGTGCTGGGGCTCCAGAGATGAACACAGACCCCAGGCACTGCCTGTCTGTTCTCGGGCACGTCCACACTCACCCCGTAAGTCCCCTTGTTGGGCAGGTGGTTGGGGTTTCAGCCCACACCTAAGCCCCTGGCTGGTGCTCCCCTGCACCCCCTCACTGGGGCTCCACTGCTCCCTGTGGTTTCCACATGGTCCTCTGGGGCCCGGCCTTGCTGCACCCTTCGGGAGCCTGGCTGTGGCAGCTCCTGCCCAGCGGCTTTCGCCCAGAAGACCGTCACTGTGACCTGGAGGTCCCTGTGTCCTGCTGGGTGGCATCCCCTGTTCCCGTCCCATTAGCCCTGTCAGTTACTGCAAGACCACGTGCCCGCACCTGCTCTCGGGCTCTGCCCCCAGCTGACCTCACTGTGGCCCCAAAGTGTCACGCAGGGCTTTGGGGCCCGAGGGCCTGGGTTGGGATCACAACTGTGTGACCCCCCCCCAGGCACAGTGCCACTCCAGCACATCCCTCCCGGGTGAGAAGAGGTCTGTGGCGGAGCAGAGAGGAAGCAGGAAGAAGATCAGGCTGGTCAGCTGCCAGGTGGGTGAGCCACCCAGACCCACCTGGGGATGTGGTGGGAGCCACAGGCTGTTGCAGCTCTTAGTGCTCCTGTCCACGGCCAGTGGCCCTGACCCAGCAGAGTGTGAGGTGTGAGCCGGCCAAGCCTGCGCCATTCTAACTCCACTGTCCCTTAGGGGTGGGGGGCTCGGCTGGACAGTGGTGTTGGGTGCAGGAGCTGAGTGTGCAGTGTGGCTGCGGTGCCTGCCTGGCCCCGCCTTCACTTTGCTGGGACGTTCACAGCGAGGTGCAGATTTGCGTCTTGGTCCTGACAGTACCGACTGGCTCCTGGGGCCCAGTTGCTTGTTGGCGTGGGGCCAGGCCTGCACAGGCCCCCTCTCCTCATTCAGCCTTTCACGGTGGGAGCACAAAGTGTGCGAGAACAGCATGGCCTGACGCCGGCCAAGGGGCCCCTGTCCTGGGACCCACGCCGAGTCCTGCACATTTGTGGTCAGGTTGGGCCTTTCAGACACGTGGGCTCATTCCACAGAAGGCCCTGCCCCCAGCAGGTGGGAGTCAGGCCCGGCCCTGGAGGCTGCACTGGGGCGGGCCTGTAGCCAGGCTGGCTCACCAGGGCAGTGCTGGGCCCTGGCAGGAGGTAGAGGCTATGTGCCCACACATGGGGAAGGTCTGTGTCCCCATCCTCAGATGAAGGCAGTTGAGAGCAACTGAGTAGACAGCCTGGGCCAAGAACTTCGGAAAGCCCCGCACACTGCCTTTGTCCATTCCCCTTGCTTCTGGGAAAAACCAGGCGGGGGTGTCAGGAAGTGGGCTGGGTGCCAGGGGCCTGCCTGTGCTCTGAGAGCTGAGCTGGGCAGACCAGAAAGCCTGGCTTCCACGCTTCCCATCTAGGCCCCATGTCAGGGCCTAGGGCGCAGTGGGAATGGAGCAGGACACTGCCAACCCCTGGGTTTGAGACGTGTCCCTTGCTGTGAGCTGCCCACCTCCGAGCCAGGCGTGTCCTCTGAGCTGAGAGAGCCCGCTGCAGCTGTACTGGCCCTGGATGCCCCATCCTGGAACCCAGTGGGGGCAGGAGGTGGGGCTGGAGGTGCAGCCCAGGGCCTCAGATCCACCTGTGCTGGTCCTGAGAGGCGTGGCCTCCCTGCAGCCCCTCCTGGCTGCCTTCAGCATTTTTTTCCTGCCACCTGCCAGCCACACCCTGGAACAGTGAAGGGTCTGAAGGGTGAGGTGTGTCTGATGGGCTCCTGGCTGTGTCCAGCAGGAGGGGCTGGCGGCAGGTGCGCAGGCGGACAGAGCCAAGCTCTTCATGGTGGCCGTGAAGCAGGCACTGAGCCGGGCCAGCTTTGCCGCCTTTACGCAGGCCCTGCAGGAGTACAAGGGCTCGGACGACTTCCAGGCTCTGGTAGACCACCTCAGCCCCCTCTTTGCCCAAGACCCCAAGAAGCACAGCCTGCTCCAAGGTGCCTGGGATGCCGCAGTCACGGGGTGGGTCAGAGGACACTGGGTGGGTCACCTCGGGGCAGGGTTGTCCCTGCTCCCTAGCAAAGATCTGGATGGTGGCTGCAGCGCGTGGCACCCGCGCACCCAGACACCCTCTCCAACAGGCTTCTACCAGTTCGTGCGGCCCCACCACAAGCAGCGATTTGAGGAGCTCTGCCTCCAGCTGACGGGCCGAGGCTGTAGCCATCTGCCTGAGCACAGCCTTCCGCGTGGGCAGTGGACACAGCCAGCCCTGGACCCCGGTGGTGAGTGGGGCCTTCCCCAGGCAGACCCTCAGGGGCTGGCACCTGGGGTCCCGAGGTGGGTCCTAGCTTGGTCCAGCCTCACTGTTTCTACAGGGGCCAATGGATCACTGCAGGGTGGCACCATGTCGGCCCCCAGAGCATGTACAGCTGTCGTCTTATCTGCACCGGGGTCCTGGAGCCCCTTGTCCCTCCCCCCAGAGCGGGCCCTGCACCTCCAGAGCGAGGGAGCCAGTCCCTGTCCCTGACCAGCCTGCCCTGGGTGGGACTGCCTCAGGGACACTGCCCTGGGGAGGGGACTTTCCAGCCCCAGAGTCACTCCCCCCTGGGGTTGATGCCACAGGATGTCCCTCTGAGCAACCGGATGTCCCTCTGAGCAACCAGCTGTCCACGGGGCCGTGTAAATCAGGTCCGAGGAGGGTTGTGAGCCCAGCCTCCCCTTGGGCAGACCTGCCTCCTCCCTAGGGAGCACTCGGATCCTTTGAGACCAGCTGGATAACTCCTGTGTCTCCATGTTCCTTCAGGAAGGAGGGAGCCTGTCCCCAAGATGACCCTGTCCCAGAATGCGGCCAGGCAGCTGGACACTGGAGGGCACCTGAACCAGGGACAGCCTCACCTGGCCTCCAGGCCGCCACCAGAAGGTACATGGGCCCTGAAGAGGCTTCTGACCAGAGCCAGGAGCAGAGCTAGACCTCGGAGGGGAGGAGCCTCCTGGGGGCTCTGGGCCCCGACACAGTCCGTATTCCCTCCCTCTCAGGAGACACTGGCCTCTGTACACAAGAGGGGTGTGGTGCCCCTCAAGCGGAGAAGCCGAGCCAGCCTGCTGTGAGCACCTACCTGGCAGATGCCCGCAGGGCCCTGGGGGCTGCAGGCTGCAGTCAGCTCCTGGCAGCACTGACCACCTACAAGCGGGATGATGACTTTGAGAAGGTGGTGGCTGTGGTGGCAGCACTGACCACCTCGAGGCCTGAGGACTTGCCGCTGCTGCAGAGCAAGTTTCTGAGGAGGGGACTTGGAGGGGCTCGGCGGGAGGAGACTCGGGGGATGGGGGCAGGTCCTGAGCAGCCCTCCCCGCAGGGTTCAGCATGTTCGTGCGCCCACACCACAAGCTGCGCTTCTGGCAGACGTGTGCAGACCTGACCGGCCGGCCCACCCCGGACACAGGCACTGTGCCCCCGGGACCCCAGGAAGGGAGCTCCGAGGTGTTTCCCATCCTCACCCCCAGGGTGACCTGCTGGTGCTCTTGCCACCCCTACCCTGTCACCCCAGAGCCTCCGCAGCCTTGGGAGGCACGGGCAGCAGAGGCGCACCAGCCACCCCTCAGACTCACTCCTCTGTGTCCAGGCCCCTCCGAGCCAGAGAGACTAGGGAGGACCCAGAGCAAGATCTCCTCCTTCCTCAGGCCACGGCTGGACCCCCATGACCCCACGGACAGACAGTCTGAGTGGGTAGGTCTCGTGGGTGCTGGCTGCCAGCAGAGGAAGCTATCCCTTCCCCATGTCCCTCCTGCTAACAGCAGCACCCAGGTCTTGACCAGCCCTCAGGGACATGGCTGCCGGGCACCACCACTCTGGGGTGGGTGGGCAGTGGTGCCTGGCAGGTGTGGCCAGCGTCCTCTGTGTCTTCCCAGACCCCCAGGAGGACACTGCGTACTGGACCTGGGGTGCCTCCGCCAGGAAACAGAGCCACGGGCCACTCTTCTGAGACGACTGGGCACAGCAGGGCCTCCAAGGCTGAGGCCACCCTCCCTGGATGCAGCATGGACACTTGTCTGCTGGCTCAGGGTGGGCCAGGCCCAGCACCAGCAACCTGCCAGTCAGAGAGGCCGGTCTGCACAAGGGACACCCCTGAGACCGCAACCAGGTCTCGGGCCACCTGGGAGAAGCCCTGAAGCCACCGTGGGGTGGGTGGGTGAGGTGCTTCCCCAGAACTTTCCCTGGCTGCTGGCTTGTGGGGGTGGGGGGCTCAGGGGTCCACAGCTGGGCCGCACCTGGAACAGGTGGTCTGCTCCCTGGCATGCTGGGACTGAGCCTGGGGGTGGGCTGAATAAAGCTGCTGGCATATAGGGATGCTCTTCGCATTGCCTGGGCTTGGTGATGGTGTTTGAGGTGCCAGAGAGAAAGGATGGGGGCATCTGCACGGGGTCCCCCTCCCACCGTCCCACGAGAGGGTGCTGTGAGCATGTTGTCTGAACTTGGCTCAGCCTCCATCCTTGCAGCTGGACAGGAAGACACTGATACCAGAGGAAAGAGGAACTTGCCTCTCCCCCCGCGCCCCTTATACCTCCCTGGAAGGCTTTGTCACTGGATCACAAGCTGTGCCTGGTGATAGGAGGGCCTTCATAGGACTGCCTCCTGCACTAGGGGGGCAGGGGGACTGGGCCAGGCCAGGCGAGGGTGCTGCGACTGTGCCCCAAACTGGGTCAGAACATGCCCTAGCTGGTTTGGCTCAGTGGATAGAGTTGACCTGCAAACTGAAGGGTCGTGGGTTCAATTCCAGTAAAGGGCACATGCCGGGTTGCAGGCTTGATCCCCAGTAAGAGGTGTGTAGGAGGCAGCTGATCAATGATTCTCCTCATTGATGTTTCTATCTTCCTCCCTCCCTGAAATCAATAAAAATATATTTAAAAAACAAATTTAACTGGGTCAGAACATGGCCTGCGGAAGGTCACCGGCCTCTCCCTGGGGTGTGGCGAGGCCAGCCTTTATAGGAGGCGCTGGCCAGAGCTGGAGTACTCTGGTTGGCTGCAGGTAGGGTGGGCGGGGCCTGCTTCCGCGGGGAGGAGTGGGGCTGTGGTGAACTGGTGTCCCCGCTGAGTCCCGCTGGAGGGAGGATCATGAAAGCACATGCGAGGCTGCCCCTGATCCTGCCGAGGGCACTACCGTTCCTGCTGCTGCTGCTGGCTGTGCGCGGGCCAGCGGAAGACGTGCCTACCTACCCGTGGTGGGATGTGGCCACGCGGGAGTGGGCCGGTACTGCAACGTGGTCTGCGGGGAGCACGAGGAGGAGGCGCGGCCCTGCTCCGGCGTCCACAACAGGGCCTGCCGCTGCCGCCCAGGCTTCTTCGAGCTCGCGGGCTTCTGCCTGGAGCACACGCCCTGCCTGCCTGGCTATGGAGTGGTTGCCCTTGGTGGGTGCTGGGCACTCTGTGGGTGGTGCTGGGCCAGGACTCCTTCCATGAGGATGCCCCGGGTCCCCCTGACCATGTCCTTCCATCTCATCCCCAGGCACCCCCACCCAGGACACACAGTGCCAGCAATGTCCCCCAGGCACCTTCTCGGCCAACAGCTCCAGCTCAGAGCAGTGCCAGCCCCACCGCAACTGCACGGCCCTGGGCCTGGTCCTCAACGTGCCGGGCACCCCCTTCCATGACGCCATGTGCACCAGCTGCACAGGCCCTCCACTCAGCCCTCCAGAGCCGGGGGGTGCAGGTGACTGGAGGGGGACAGGTGAGCCATGGGGTGCAGGTGACTGGAGGGGGACAGGTGAGCCAGGGGAAGGGGCACAGATGAGGGGGGATGGGCCATGGGGCAGCAAGCTCAGCCTGTGCCCTGCCCCAACTCTTGGTCAGTCCAGCCCTTGGAGCCATGAGGCCTTTAGTGGGCGTCTGGGAAGTGCCTCCAGCCTCGTGGGGCTAAGGGTCCCCAAAACCCGCGGAGCAGCCATGGGTAGTGGCAGTGGCACCATTGAGTGCACTATGCTGATGGCTTTAGCTGGCAAGCAATGTTTTTCCCCACCCCATCACTGAGTGCTCGTCAGCAGCGGCATCCCCTCACCCCAGGGCCGCCTCTCCCACCCACCTTCCTGGCATGGGGTCCCAGCAGGGGCATGGGGAGGGCTCTGTCTGCAGGGAGCCCTCACCCCAGGACCTGGCCCAACCTCCACCTTGCCTGACCCTCCCACAGGGACGGAGGAGTGTGAGCGCGCCCTTGTGGACTTCGTGGCTTTCCAGAACGTCTCCTTCAGGAGACTCCTGCAGCTGCAGCAGGCCCTCTCGGGTCCGGGGGCATGGACTCCCCGTCGGCCCTGGGAGGACCGCATGTCCTTGCAGCAGACGCTGCAGAGGCAACTCATGAAGCTCCGCGAGGCCCGGCCAGGGGCGTTGGTGGCGGGGCTGCTGCAGGCCCTGCACACAGCCAGGCTGCCGGGGGTGGAGCGCACTATCCGAAAGCGCTTCTTCCTGGCCAGCTGAGCCCCGTATTTATTCTACTGGCCGGGCATCAAGTGTAGTTTTTATAAAACCCTTCTGTAAAATCGATTGTGTAGGACAGTGCTGTGTGACGGTGGTGGACTGAGGCAGACCTTGATGGCAGGGAGGATCATGGGAAATGGCCAGTGGGTGGAGGTGGGGCCTTCCCGCCGTGGGGCACAGGGGAGCTGAGGCTCACTCCATGGCCCAGCCCAAGCTGAGCTCTGGGTAGCTGGGAGTGTGGAGGGTAGGTCAGGGCCAGTCAAGGAGTGGCAGTGCCCAGGAGGGTCACCAACTCCAGGGCTCTGCTGTGAAAGGACTCAGCGACTGTCCCCCTCCCTTTGGGTCCCACCCACTCCCTACCGCAGGGGACTTCCCAGGAGACCAGTGTCCCACTAGCTTTCTGGGAAATGGCTTTTCGCTCGGGGCAGGATCACACCCTCACATGAGGGAACCCACGGAACAAGGGACTAAATGGCTCCAGGGTGGGGGATGGGACTCCCAGCCCTAGCTGCCCCCACCTCCCAAAAGGCCCAGGACTTCTCATGAGTCACTTTCCCTGCCACTGGGTCCCCAGCCCCATCCCTGACTCATCCCTTTCCCAGCAGCTCCTCTCAGGTCTCCTCTGGGGAGGGAGGGAGGGGAGGCTGATGGGACCTCCCTGGAACATGAAGCCAGCAGGTCACTGGCAATGGGCCAGCCATTCCCAAGACAGCAGGAAATGGCCTGGACGCCCTTGGGCTGTGGCCATGACACAGGCTCGGAGAAGGGTACACAGGGGCCACGCAGACTGTCTTTTATTTTCTGCACAGGCACCCTGGCCAGGCTGCTGGTCACCAGCTCCCACAGGGGCCATGTGAAGAAGGGCCCCAGGACCAGCATTGCCTGGAGGGCCTGCGCTGCTGGGCACAGGCCTGGAAGGAGATGCACCCCTCACGCTCAGCTGGGAGCACAGGCACCAATGGGGCAACATAGGGACCCAGCCCACCTCCCAACACCCCTGACGCATCCCTGAGCTGGCAGCCGTGGCTGTCCCAGGTGGTGGCAGGTGTGCTAGGGGCCTCCCACTCCCAGCTTTTTGCTCCCTGATGTGGGCCGGTGGTGGTGGCGGCGGCAGCAGGGTCCACATGGCTAGGCAGATCGCACCTAGCCAGTCCTGGGGCTGCACCAGAGCCCAGGACCTTCAGGCCTTTGGGGATGTGGGTTAGGCCTCCTTCAAGGTGACACCAACTCCCAGCCCACCTCCACGATCAGAGGAGGCAGAGGCCGAGCTTCGTGGGCATGCTGTGGATGGAAAACCCGCCCAGGCCAGGCTGGGGCAAGCAGCTCCAAAGGCACCCACAGGGCCGAAAACCAGGCCCTTGAGTGGGCCCTGCTGCCCCCACTGCCTTGGCGGAAGCCTCCGGGCACCTACACTTTTCAGGACACAAAAGTCTGTCTTAGAGAAAAAACAAAGCAAATGAAAAAATCCAAAGGCAAAGCCAGCCCCAGCCCCGGGACTGGTGGCTCCAGCTGGCAGGTGTGCTCCTGGCTCAGGCACCAGCTGTACGTGCCCCCGGTGCCGGCTGCACCTACGTGATGTCCCTCTGCCGCGGCGGCCGGTGCACATTCCGCACGACACACTTCACCATCCACTCGATGCCCTCGCGCACCCCTTTGCTGTGGAGACAGTAGGTATGAGGTGGGGCAACCTGGGACCCTGGGGCAGGGTGAGGGCCCCACTCACCCCGTGAGGGCTGAGCAAGCCTGGGTCAGGCAGTCCCGCCGGCCGATCTTGGAGGTGCAGTCACTGAACGCAGTCTTGATATCCGGGATGGAGAGGCAAGTCTGGGGGGGTTGGGGGGGGGTGGGCAGGCTGTAAGGCACACCCCATCCCGCCTGAGGCCATTTTCTGGCATCAGAGAAACTGTCTGGCCCCCAGGGCAGTCCCTAGAGCTGCCAGAGCTCAAAGATGGGGGCTGAGAACAGGATGGGAGGCCAAGGTGGGCCCTTCAGGGCTTCTCTGCCCAGGAGGGTCCTACCTGGTGAGTGGCCACAGACAGCTACGAGCAGGCGGATAGGAGCAAACTAAGATGCACCTTCAGGATGCTGTAAACACCCACCCTGTGCACAGCCCTTGACTGGTGGTCCCCAGAATGGCCTGTGTCCCACCCCAGACAGTCCCTGGTTTGGAAGTAGGGCTAGCACCGCTGCCAACTCCAAGAGCAGCAGACAGGCTGGCGTCAGCTCTGACTCCACCCTGAAAAGACACCACCTTTGTCTCCTCTCCAGAGCTTTCTGCGGGTCATGTGGGTCTCCCAGGGCTGCAGAGAGACAGGGTGTAGCTGCCCCCGCATCCTCCCACCCCCAGTGGAGAGAAAGTGCCCTGCACAGCCAGGAGAGGCCTCAGGAGAGCTCTGTGCACTCGGGGCAGACACCGCCGTGCAGGGTGTCCGAGGAAGGTGGGGGCAGGCTCACCTCAACGTCCTGCTTGTTGGCCAGCACCAGGATGGGGACACCGTCCAGAGCCTCGCTCATGACCATCTTCTCTGGAATAGGCAAGAGGAAGCATTAGCACCCTTTTTCCCCCTTTGTCCGCCTGACCACCCAGCCACACCCAGGAGTCCATACATTCCTACCAACCTCTTCACAGGCGGGGACACTCCCTCATGGCCAGGACCCTTGGACCTGACATGGCCCAGTCCAGACACATGGGATGTGCGGACTGGACATGAACAGCCCCCCAGCCCCAGGTGGGCTGTACCCACCGAAAGCTTGCTTGGACTCCGACAGTCTGTCCTCGTCGGTGGAATCGATGACATAGATGACACCGTGGCACTCAGCATAGTACTGGGGAAGGCAAAGGGGCAGAGGGTGAGCCATGGGCATTCAGCCAACCCCCAGCTGCAAGAGCCTTATATGGGGTGCCTTCTGTGGGTGGGGAGGTAGGGTGGAGTGGAGGTGCGCCCCACAGGCCCTTCAAGGAAGGACTTGCTGACCACTTCCTAGGGGCTGTATCCCATATCCTACTTCAGGGCCGGCTCCTAAAAGCCACCCATGACCACAGGCCTGATGGTGGCCCGAAAGGAGAAATGGGGCTTGGAGCTGGAGGCTGGAGGAGCCCAGACCGAGCCGGTCCCCAAGCAGACCTGGAGGTGGAGTCACCGGTGGGGCCTCATACTGGCACCGAAAGCAAGCCGAGACGGGCCTCCAAGGGCAGGCCAGTGCCACCTGTGCAGCAGCTCTGTGCCCTGTGCTGGATGGCAGGGCCAAGGACCAGGCCAGCTGAGCTTACAGCTGTGTGTTCTGGATGGTGCCAGAGGGTGGTCAGCGTGGGCTTGCTGACAGCAAGGGTCACGGGAGCCCCCTGCCAACTCTTAACTGCCAGAGCCCGGGCTGTGGGGGCGAGTGGAACATATGCACAAAAGCAGGGCCTTCTGAGAGATGGACTCCCTGGGCTTGGGGCACCAGAGACACAGCCACAGACCTGGCGAGTCCACATTCTGCACCAACCAGAAAAGAGCCCTGGCCATGTCCACACTGCGGAGCAGACGACAGAACCTTGCCACTGGGCCCTACCCCTCCTGCCTGTCACCCGACACAGCCAGGCTGTGCTGTGGACTGGGCAGGATGACCCAGTAGTCAGCAAGCCAAAGGACACTCTGGAACATTCCTGAGAGTGACGCCCGCCCCATCTAAGACAAGCCTTTATCTGTACTTGCTAGAGGCAGCCCTGGGTTTTGCAGGCCGTGCACCCTGCACACCAGCCTGCATGCTGAGGGACGTGCGGCTACAGCTGCTCCGGGCACACTGGCCTGTTGCTGGCTGAGCCGGCGGGCCCACAGGAGAGGCCTCTGTGCAGAAAGGAGGCCGCTCACTCCGGGGCTGGCAGCAGGTGAGAATCGCACACAGCCACGAGGTGGCAGAAGACTACACTCCCAGCGTGTCTGGGCCCTCGTAGGGTGATGGCTCAGTGATGAGAACACAGCTGAGGTGGAGTGTGAGCAGGCTGCCCCACCCCACGACACCCACCACACCCCAACCCAATGGCTGCGTCACCCATGGCCATGTGGGGGAACCTACAAAGCCACTGGGAACAGGAGAGAGCTCAAGTGTGGCTTTTGGGTGGACACACACCAGTCCCTGGGGTGTAGCCTAGAGGGACAGAGGCCAAGCGCCAGGTGGCCTTCCTGTGTGGGAAGACATGGCCTATCTAGGCATTGGTGAGGGGTATGGGCCCTGCTCATCACTTCCATTGCCCACAGGGCTCAGCCACCCACCCCATGGCACTGGGTTCGGCAGAGTTGGTCACTGCAGCGCCCGCTCACCAGTGTCACAGCAGGAGACCTTCTGTGCCACAAACCCTGGCTGCCTCCTGGGCATCTTGGCAGAGAGCCCATCCGGTGGGCGTAACAGACCCTACCACAAGAGGTGGGGTACCACTCTACAGCGGGCTGGGAAGCACCTGAGGAACCCAGGGGGCCCACCAAGAAAGAGGGCTCAGACCCTCGTGAGGAGGCCACACCAACACACAAGTGGTAGCTAAGGGGGGGACCACACCAACTGCAAAGCCAGCCTACAGTCCTCCCTTTCCTGTCCCTTTTCCAGCTTCCCCTTAGCAGAGCCTGGGACTTGGGAGGAGACATCCCCCAAGCAGAGGCGTGAATTCAAGTGGCAAAGGAGGCCTCCACAGAAACGGTCACCCATTGAGGCCTTACTGCCCAGCGGTGGGCAGGATGCCAAGTGGACAGACCCTTGTTGGTTCTTGCAGGACCCACACTGCCAGGTCACAGCTGCCCAGGGCAGCCTACCAGGTGGCCCACCGGGTGACAGGGAGTCCTGGCCAGCTTGGCCCGCCTGGGCACATGAGGAACACTTGCCTCCAATGCTCCCCACTGGCCCCCCGCAGGCTGACCTCGCCCTGTCCAGTCCTGCACCTTCCCACTCCCAACACCCACGCTGCACCCCAACCTCTGCCTCAGTATTAGCTCCGGAGACCCTGGCCTACAACAGGTCAGGATCTGTGTTCACTCCCCACATGGTCTGGGATTCAGACGTGTAGGCTCGAGCGTGGCTCTGCCTCAGGAGAGCTTTAATGGCCAAGCCTTCTGGCCACAGACAGAAGCTGCCCTCTTGGTTGGAAGTCAAGGTGGGAGGAAACACTTGGGGGGGGGGGCAGGAAAGGGGGACTGGGCACCTGTTGCTGGGATCAAACCAGAATCAGGACCTTGCCTTCAGTTCTATGGAAGTCAAGGTGGGAGGAAACACTTGGGGGGGGGGGCAGGAAAGGGTGACTGGGCACCTGTTGCTGGGATCAAACCAGAATCAGGACCTTGCCATTCAGTTCTAAACACATGGCCACCAGCAAGTGCCGGGAAGACATGCCTGTGCCCCCAACATTAGCCCAGCATGCCCATCGCGCCAGTTCACCGAGGGAGCTGCCTAAGGGCAGGAGCTGGGTCTGTCCTCCTCGCTGCTACCCCTGTGCTTGGGGTGCAGGGAAGGGCACCACTGCCTCAGAAATGCCCAAACCCTGTGTCAAAAGAGAGAGTAGCATGGGCATCCTGGCCTGACTCTGGAGGATGCTCCTAAGCCAGAACGGAGAGAAGGGCCAAGTGGAGAGGCCAGGCCGATGCTGCTGAGCACGCCGGCACTGTGCCCCCCCATCTGGCTCTGGGCCACCTGGTCTCACCCTATGTTCATTAGCAACACCTCTACGCCCAAAGGAAGGAAGTGGATCCTCACCCACAGGGGACTGTTGCAGGAGCCAGGGTAGAATGGGGGGAGCTTCAGGAACAGAGAGGGTGACCGAGCTGCTGACAGGAAGTAAAGAAGGTGAGTCTGAGGCCCTTTGGAAAAGCGGGGACTGGACAAGGGTGCCACCTGGAGGGAAATGGCGTGGGAGGCAGGTGGCCTGTGCATCCGTCTCACCTTGTCCCACAGAGACTGCAGCTCCTCCTGCCCCCCTAAGTCCCAGAACATGAGTCGAGCCTTCCCCACGTCCACAGTGCCGACTGGGGAGAGAAGAGTCCCGGTGAGGCTGTGGCCCGGGTCCATGACAGTCTCACCGCTCCCCTGCGAACAGCACCCCGCTCCCGTGCACCTGAGGTGGCCCACCAGGAGCCGGTGGCCTCAAAGGACAACACAGCACCCTCTGGGCTAGGACCCACACCCACCGCGCTCAGCGCCCCCTTACTGTTCAGACCCACGGTGGTGGTGATTTTGGAGAGACTCATCCCCTTGTAGTTCTTGCTAAACCGGGTTTTGGATTGCTCCAGGAAGGTCTGAGGGACAGGAAGAGACAGGCAGGAGGCACTAGAGTCGTTTTCAAGGCTGTTCATGTCCCTCCGTGGGCTTATTCCGCAAACAGACGTTTTGCTGTTAAAGCAGCTGGCGGGGACTGTCCCATGGCCTTGGATGGGGAATAAATTTGGGTGTCCCAAGGCCTTGGATGGGGACTGGATTCAGAGCAGGCAGTGCAAGGCCCAGGCCAGCGGGGCCTCGGACAGGGGGAAGCGTACCGTCTTCCCGGCATTGTCCAGGCCCAGGATCAGGATGCAGTACTCGTCCTTCTGGAACACGTACTTGTACAGCCCCGACAGCAGCGTGTACATCCTGCCAGGGTGCCAGGAGCTGAGTCCAGGCCGGGGACCGCCCAGCCTCCCCACCCTGGCGACCTGACCCGGCCCACCGCCCTGTGGCCCCGCCCACCGCCCTGCGGCCCCGCCCCGCAAAGCCTCCAACACCGCCTCCAGCTCCCTGCGGAGCGCAGGGCGCCCCCCACTACTTCACTCCCGCTTGGCGCCGCCAGAGACTCGCTTCCTCTGCCAGACGGGGGTCACCGCGCCTTCGCTCAAACTCGGTCCCGCCCATCAG